TGTGATTCGATGATGTGTGTGTGTGTGTGTGTGTGGTGGGGTGACGGAGGCAGTGGTGGCCTGGGAGGTGTTAAAAGGTGGATGGAGGGGAGTGTTTGAAGTGGGACAGCAGGAGCAGGAAGAAGTGGGGAGAGGAAAGCTTTCACAATAGCTGAGTGAGTGGCCCCCTGGGACAGAGGCCACCAGCTTTCCTACTAAATTTCCATATCCGCTTTCAACACTAGGAAGTAAGTGGAGGCCTCCGTGGAGTGCCTCCCCCTGGATACTGGCTTCTCAAAGCATCCCCATGGCAGTTTAATTGTTGCTGTCTGGCTTGGTGGCCCATGATGCCCGGTGAAAAGGTATAGACTCTCAAGACCCAGGAAATTAAGCGGTTTGGATAAGCTAGCGTGTAGCCCGGCAGCTGCTGCCAGCTGGTCTAAAATCAGGTAGTGAGATGGGCTATCATTAGCCTGAGGTCTACCGTGCAGTCCCAGAAGGCAATATGATGGCGGGGAGACTGAGGGAAAGGCCCCGTTAATGCTGCAGCACTCCGCAGTCCAGAGGGCTTGGGGGCAGTTGTTCTGACAGCTGCTGAGGACTTCAGCCGCCTAAAAAGCCAATTGCTGCGGCCGGCCCTGTCTGGCCAACCTCTGTGGATTAAAGGACTTGCGTTGGTCTTTGAGGTCCCCTCTCCACCTGGATCCTCAGGCCAAGGCCCCACCTTTGGAAGGGATGGGAACCTCCCAAGATACTCTCCCGCCCTCTGCTATAACCTGTTTACGGGGTCTGTTTATTTGATTGTCCCAAAGGCTTGTTTTGAGCAAGTTGATGCCTTTAATTAAAAAGATGAGAGCTGCCCGGGTTGGGTAACTCAGTTGGTTGGAGCATTGTCCAGTGTGCCAGGGTTGTGAGTTCGATCCACATACTGGAATCAACCAGAGAGCATAACTAGGTGGAACAACAAATCGATATCTCTCTCTCTCTCTCTCTCTCTCTCTCTCTCTCTCAAATCAATCAATAAATAAAAATTCAAAACAAACGATGAGAGCTCATGAGTAGGTGAAAATATTTTTGACTCTTCACAAATATGTTTGAATTTCTTTTCTTGCATTTCACAGTAAGGGGTTCAGGCTGGTCAGCACATTTGTCTGTAAGATCACTACGAGCGTTTTCAGTAAGCTAACAGCTGGCTCTTCTGCACAGAATGATAAAAGGAACCCTAAGTCAAGAACTTGTTCCTTGTGCTTCTCTGTCAACAGATTTTTTTGCCAGCATCCAGGTGTCATTAGGACACATTCCTCATTTACCTTTCCGGCCAGAGGATTCCTAAATGTTTCATAATAGCGCCACAGCTGGAATGCAGCTGCTTCAGGGTGGAGCAAAAATAACTCCTCACGGTCGGCAGGGTGAGGGAGGGCAGGGAATCTTGGAGGGCTGGGAAAGTCCTTTCTAAAAGCCAGAAATGAGTGGGGCCTCTGGTGTGAAAACCTTCCAGGTGAGGGAAGGAAGGATAAGTTTTTGCCCACTGCGTAGATTCCAAAAATTCACTCGGGGGGTGGGGAGGCCAACTATTTTGAAATTGCCTTTAAAACAAACAGCACAAATGTTTAAATTGACCTGGGAAATGCTTGCTTTTTCCTTTCCCTACGATCCAAGTCTGTTCCCTTGAACATTAACCAACAGGAGAGTTTGTCCAAGCTTCTCTCCTCCCCCATCGCTCTCCTCTCTCTCTCTCTCTCTCTCTCTCTCTCTCTCTCTCTCTCTCGTTATCTTTGCTTCAGCAGAACTTTTGGAAGCTTTCCCAGGCTGGAGTATAGAATGTTTCCAGGAAAATGCATAAGGAGTGTCTGTGTTTTGAGTTTCTCTGGAGGGGGCTGGACATGTTTTTCAGAGAGACTGAGCTAAGGGCAGCCAGGTCTTGTGCAAGAGTCCAGCCAAGCAAAAAGGGCAGACGCTGCCGGAAAGATCTGTGCGCATCCAAAAAAACGCTGAACCGAAGGTGTGGTTTAGTTGGCCCGCCTGTTCTCAGCCTCTTTCAGCCTTTTATTCACGTGGCTACCTCAATGGCAGTCTGAGAGTGGAAGCACCCTCACCCCCTCCAAGAGATCCACTGAGAACAGCTGGGGGCCAGGGTTTGACCTTTATTCTCAAGTTAGCGGTGCTTGTAATTTCTGCCTAAAGAACACTCTCTGATGTAGATGAAGTGCAGGGAGTCAATACTCACCCAGCAGGAAGGCGCCCCGCCCAGGCGAGGAATGTAATGGGTAAAAGGTGTCCTGGAGATGTTGCTGCCAACCCCCGGCCCATGCCAGCGCTGCTCCACTTGGGCCCAGAAACACACACACAGCTGCATGCACACATGTATCAGAAACATCTGGACACAAAACCAGAAAGCGCCTACATGAGGCCTGAGGGCAGCGGGACTCGCAGGACCCCTCGCCGATGGAAGTGGCTCTCCAAAGCAAAGGCAGCTGGGGTTTCCCAGAAATACCCTCTTCTTCAGGCTGGTTCGTGGGAAAAGGAGGCAGAGGAGCTCCTAGGAAGGCTGCCCTGAGTGAGCGCCGAGCTGCCCCAGCCACTCTCCAGTGGGAAGCCTGCTTCCTCCTGGGCCCGTCCCCTGAGGAATGTAGTAGCACCCAGTAGATGCTAACGTTTAGGAATCATCTCAGAGTCAGTGTGTTTGTTCAGTATCTTGAGGACCCAAGACCTCCAGAGAGGAAGGACCGAGCAGGGGCCTGCTGTGCTGGAAACCAGAGGACACGGCGCCTGGCTCTCCTCCCGCCGTGCGTGCATTTGAAGACTATTTACCAGGAACACTGGAACTGGTCATGTAAAATCTCTTTTCCTTTCCGTCCAGGGAACACACATTGACTCCAGAAGGCACCTCCCCCACAGCAGGCTGGGAAGTTGCTTAACAGCCCAGGCTTTGGAATACTGATGCAACGATGACAAGCACAGCTAACATTCATTGGACACCCCTTCTGCACTTGGCATTGTGCTAAGTGTCTTAATGCGGCCTCTCCTCTAATCCACACCTAATGCACAAGGTTCGGTTATTGTCCCCATTTTATAGATAAAGAAACGAAGCTCAGAGAGGTTAAGAAACTGGTCCCAGGATACACAGCTGGTAAGTGACTGGAATTAGAATTCAGGGTTGCCTTACTAGAGCCCTCATCCGACGGGCCTGGGTTTGAATTCTAAGTCAGCTTCGTGTGACTATGTGACCCTTGCCAGCCTCCAGGCTTCTTGATCTGTTTTCCTAAGGTAAATACATCACATATTGGCAATTCCCTATAACTTAGCCTAAATCTTACACAAGATGTAAGACTGAAATAAGATAATGCATGCAGAGTACTTTGCTGAGCGTTTAGAATGTAGTAAGCACCCAGTAGATGCTAGCTTTTCATAATCATCTCAGCATCAATGTGTTTGTTCAGAATCATTAATCACTATTCATAGTCTCTGTGAATCTTCTTGAACCCTTGAAAGATCCCTCTCATCCCCATATGGGCACATCAGTCCCAAGTCGGCCACATTGCTGATGCTGGGGGAAATAACTTCTAATCCTTTCTTGGTGACTTAATTTATGCTGGAATCTACACATCTGGAGCACACATCTGTATCCGAGCCACCCATCCCTCCCTTTTGCACTGCCCACTCACATTCACTTGGGTTCATTAGGGGTTCCAAGTTTTCAAAATCATTCAAATCTGATCACTTTCCAGTCCTGCTTAAAAAGTCTTCCAGACGCTGAACAGAATCAAAACAAACCCCTTCACTGGGACACAAGACCCTTGGGAACTGCCTCCAACCCCTCTCTCTGCCTCTTCCTGCCCCTGGATTACTTGCTGACCACATGAAGCCCCTCTTTGTTCCCGGAATGCCACGTAAACCGTTAAGCCCATGCCTTTGCAGGCTCTCTTCTCCGCCTACGAGGGATGTTTCTCCTCTTCTCCTTTGAGCAAACTTGTATACATCTTTCAAAACCCAGCTCTGTTTTTACCTTTCCCATGAAACTGGCCTCCAGCATTTCTGTCTCTATACTCCATGGCAATCTGCATATGTCACGAAGAGTTGTAACTACATACCTTCCCTACTGGCAACTGGATGTGGTTCAAGGCTAGGGCTTACCTTCTATCCGCCACATCACCTAGAAGGCCTTAAGTAAATGTTAGTCAAAAGAAGGTGCCTGAATATAGATTTGTACAATGTAATTTTATTGGCAGTAAAATAGTATTTGAGTCTGTATGTATATTATTTATACCTTCCCTGTTCCAGCAAGAATTTGAGGTAGATGTGAATATAAGAATCTTTCTGCCGTAACCGGTTTGGCTCAGTGGATAGAGCGTCGGCCTGCAGACTGAAGGGTCCCGGGTTCAATTCCGGTCAGGGGCATGTACCTTGGTTGTGGGCACATCCCCAATGGGGGGTGTGTGGGAGGCAGCTGATCAATGTTTCTCTCTCATCAATGTTTCTAGCTCTCTATCCCTCTCCATTCCCCTTTGTGAAAAATCAATAAAAAATATTTTTTTTTTAAAAAAAGAACCTTTCTTACTCATAAGCAGATAGACAATAGTGCTTGGTACATCCCATAGTAGAAAGCCAGGGCCTTGGAGTCAAAGAGTTCTGGGTTCAAATCCTAACTTGGCGTCTGACTGTGACTTTAAGGCATTACTTCACTTCTCTTAGCCTCAGTTTTCCCATCTGTAAAATGCAGATAACAATAATTACCTCAGTGGGAGACTTTGTTGATTGCTATCCAATTGTCACTACTGCTTTCTTCCTTAGTGCTCTGAATTATTTTTCCAGAAGTCCATGTGCCTGGAGTGGGGAGGGAGAAATCCTGATCAGTGTAAACTTATCTTCATAAGTTTCCCTTGCTGGTGATTCATTCTGGGATAGATCTGTGACTCCGTTCTGGTCAATGAGATGCAGAGAGGGTGGTTTATGGCGTGTGTGTAGAGAGTTGTTCTAGGAAATAGTCTCCTGCTCTTAAAACATGAGAGAAACAACTGTCCTTCAGCAGCTGGATGTGATGTCTGAAGTGATGGCGGGGCCACAGCAGCCATTTTGCTGTGATGAGGACAACGACCTAGAGAATCAAGCCAACACCCTAAAGATGATAGAATGGAAACATGGCAAGAACCTGGGTCCTGGTAGCTCAGTTCAGCAGCTGGATTATCCTGCATTGGAGCCACCCACTTCTGGACTATTTCCTGCGATCCTCAATTCCTTCATTGTTCAGTGAGGGACCACGGGTTCAATCCAATGGAGCTGAGGTTGCTGCTGTTACTTGCAGCCAAAAGCATCCTGACAGATGAACCTCATCGGGTTGTTGTGATGACTAAATAAATTGCAAAGTCCCTAACAGTGCCTGGAACACAGCAGGCTCTTAAAGATTAAAGACTTTCCTGCTGGGACAATCTGAGGTGAATGCATGACTAACTCTTGGTGAGTGACCCAAAGAATGTGGCAGATAGTCATAAAGTCAAATTTAGAGCCGTTCAGAGGTGGGCGGGTGCTGGAATGACAACAAAGATGACGATGACAATAAAACTCAAACACTGCGTTAATAAGTGTCTGATGGAACTTCTCGAGGCCGTAACAAACGGTTCTCCTTTGTTCTTCTCGGGCCTTTTCTTCCCCGGGTCAGAGTGAAACCCTGTTAGACACAGCCTTTTCTAATTGTGGGCAGCCACACTTGCACAAGCGGGGTGGTCCCTGACTTCCCTGGGGCATGGAAGCCCTGCTACAGGATGAAGGCTAGAGTGTAATTTGTAGCTCCAGGAGGAGCCAAGATTTGGAAGTAGAACTCACATACCCACACAAAGTAAAACAGGGGCTGCAACTGACGGAAAAGCACAAAGCCTGTCCCTTCCCAGACCAGCCCCCGCAGACGTCTACAGCTCGGGAAGGCCTGCATTTGGAGGCCCTGGGCCCTGGCGGCCGCCTGGCTTTGGGGCCTGCTGACCAGGCCACAGAGCTCCCCTCCATGCCAGCCCCACGGCCCTTCTGACCCTGTTCCAGGAGAGCTCAGCCACACCAGCGTCTGCCAGACTCATGTCCGCCCAGTGCGTGGGCGGCCCTGGCAGCAGGGGATGGAACAGGGTTTGTGCGAGGACATTGTGGCCCCCGTAGCAGGGTTGTGAGAGAGGCGGTCTCACTTCCGGGCAAGCCAGGAGGGAAGCTGGAGGAGGTAAGGAGCAGAAGCTGCAGACTCAAGGCAGCCTTAGCCCCATTTCCAAGGCCCTCTTCACGTTAGAAGCCTGCTCCAGGCCGTGCACTTCCTGTATGTCTCGCCCCTGCCCAGCCAGGTTCAACATCCACATTCAATTCTGTCCACCAAATATTTATTGAGAATACTCTCTGCAAGGTGCTATATTCCTGCCAGCGACTGGGAGTGAGAGAGACACGAAGAAAAACAAGATTAGAGCAGAAAGGACCTCAAATTTCTTTCAGCCTCTATACCTACTCCCCACCCGCACCGCAAGGCCCAAGTATTTAAGAAATAAATAAAAATGTGAATCCAGGGCAGTTGAATCCAGGGCAGGGCTCTGTCTCCTCTGGCCAGAGACAGCCTCCATGGACAGAGTACGAAAAGCCGTGGTCTAGACCAGAGGAGAAACTGAGGCCCAGAGAAGTGAAGTGACCTCCATGAGGCACACCCCAGCCAGGTTCAAATTCAGGTGTCCGAGCACCTGGCCCAGTGCCTTATCCATTGCAGGGCCTACGCCTGGGCACTGTTTCAGAGATCAGCAGGGGAGTAGAGGGAAGTGGACCAGGAATAGAATCCATGTGCTACAGACTAGTTACAGAGAGCCAATGGTCTGACGCAGGAGAGAAACCTCCATCTGTGGAAGAGGCACAGGGCTGGGCTGGGGCAGGATGGGCAGGATTTGACAAGGAGCATGGCCAGGGAGTGGTGGGGAGTTGCGGGGGCGGGGGTGGGGGGGTGGGGGAGATAATTCAGGCCCTGGAGAAAATGATCTGCTAAAGCCCAGCCAGCATGGCTTAATGGTTGAATGTCGACCTATGAACCAGGAGGTCACTGTTCGATTCCCGGTCAAGGCACATGCCCAGGTTGCAGGCTCGACCTATAGAACAGTTTTCTCATTTGTAAATCTGTAATAGGGAAGTCTCTCTACCCTATCCCCTCAAACCAGAGGGGGTGTACAGGAAGCAGCCAATCAATGATTCTCTCTCATCATTGATGTTTCTATCCCTCTCTTCCTCTCTCTGAAACCAATAAAAACATATTAAGAAAGAAAAAAAAAGATCTGCTAAAGACTGAGGAAAGACCGTCAGCTCAGAGTCCTGGGTTCCAGCCCTGGCTCTGCCATCACAAGAAGTGACCTTGGGCCAGTGGTCTCCCTGAGTGGGTTTGTGTCCTTACCCGTAAAATGGCAGAAGGGTGGGCTAGAATGTTCTACGTGGGCTGTGATGTTCTAATGTTCTTCTATGATGCCTTCTCCCTCCCATAGGGCTGCCCTTCACCTCCCCACTGGCACCACCCAGGACACTTTCCAGGGGGCTGGCATTGACATCAGAAGGAAGTGTCCCTGGCACAGTACAAAGCTGGCAGCTCAAGGGGCCTGCCCAGAGTTTGGGGAGCAGTGACAAAGCACGAGGAGGCAGGAACCCGGCCAGAACTGGGGCAGGAGCCATTCCTCTTCTCAGAAGGGTTCATTCCAGTCCAGCCCAGGCCTCAGCCAGTTCTGCTCTACCCAGGCCCACCACGAGGGGGCAGGAAGGGGAGGCCTTGAGGATGGGGGTGACAAGCCACTTAATAGTTCCAAACCTCAGCACTCTCATTTTTAAAATGAGCTAAAAACAGTACCTTGGTGTTCTCCGTTGTGAAATGGATCATTTTAGCATCTCAGATGATGAAATGAGATAATGCTTGTCAGGTGCCTAGCACGTGCCTGGTGTAGAACCACTCAGTACATACGAGATCACATGCATTGCCAGAGGGCTGCCTGCTGGGGAAGACCGCACAATTTGAAGGCTCCTGACATTAAACAGGCTGGTTTGAGTAGGGCCCCTGTACGCCTAACACAGGCTCAATCACAGGAGGGGAGAACCGGGAACCGCGGCTGGGGAGGTTGGTGAGGCCACTCGAAAAATGTGCGCGCGCCCCCTGCTGGCTGGGAGAAAAGGTGCAGGCCTGCCGGCTGGGAGTTGGAGGACCCTGGGGGGATGCAGGGCATCCTTGTTAGCACAACCTGCTGTGGCCTGATAGCTTGACCCAATAGTCACATGGTGCCCACCAGGTGTCACCCACTTAGCAACGTGCCAGGCTCTGGGAGGGATGCAAAATGAGTGACAGCTCAGTTAGGTTTGGGGGCCAATTAGCTTTAGAGTCAACCAGGCACCAGCTCAAGCTCAGAGACCACCCCAGAAACTGTGTCTGTTACAGAAGCAAAGTTCCTTGCGTCTTGGACTTGTAGTGTGTGGAGTGACCTTGGGCAGGGCATGGGATGCCTCTGAGCTTCAGCTTTCTCGTCTGTAATAGGGAAGTCTTCTCTACCCCACCCCTCAAACCAGAGGGTAGAAACCCTGGGTGTGGGGCCTCCAGGACTCTGTCACTTGGGAGGAGGTGAAAGTCACCACCAACAGCCGTGTTGTTGCAAGAGAAACCTTATCACTTTGAACCGGGCTGTCACTTGTTGGTTCTTTGGAAGAGTCCCTGTCATGCTCCTGTGGCTTGCCAGGCTCCCCAGGTTCCCCCACCCACCAGATACCCTGCAGACCTGGGCTCAGGCCTTCCTACTCCTAAAGAAGGTGAGAAAGTGAGTCACGTAGTTACCTGGTAGAAGGTGGGTTCCAGGCAGAGGAAATGACAGATGCCAGGGCCTCCGAGGCAGGAACATATCTGGTGACAGAGAGGCTGTCCTGGAGAAAACAAGGGAGAGGAACAGGACGTGTTGTTAGGGAGGGCATGGGGCGGGGCAGGCGGTGTCGGGCCTCGGGCCATTGGGAGGACACTGGTGTGCGTTGATTCTGAGTGAAACCGGAGGCAGGGCAGGTTGTGAGCAGATGAGTGATGTCATCTGTCCTGCATTGGAACAGGTTCATTCTGTTGTGGATTAAGGGTTGGAGAGCAGGGGGTCAGGGCTATTGGAGGGACGCAGGCAAAGGGGCCAGGGTGGTGGTGGCCAAGTGAGTGAGAAGGGACCTACTTCTCAATGTGCTCTGAAGGGAGGGCAGCTGGGGTGAGCTGCATGAGAAACCATCCATTCTGATTTCTATAAATATTTCTCTTGCATATTTTATTATGCGTCCCTAAGGTACATAGGGAAAGGACTAGTGTCCACACGCCCACGCACTGTGGACACAGCAAGGAACTAGAGTGCCCGCCGCAAGGCCCCACCCAGCTCCTAAGGTGATGACCCTCACCTCCACAGTGGGAATGGTGTGAGGACAATATGTGAACTCTGGGGACTAGATAAAAAGAAGATACTTTTATTATTTTTAAAATATATATTTTTATTGATTTCAGAGAGGAAGGGAGAGGGAGATAGAAACATCAATGAAGAGATGGAATCAGTGATCGGCTGCCTCCTGCACACCCCACACTGGGGATGGAGCCTGCAACCCGGGCATATGCCCTGACCAGGAATCGAACTGTGACCTCCTGTTCATAGGTTGACGCTCAACCACTGAGCCATGCCAGCTAGGCAAGAAGCAACTTTTATTCATGAAATATGGTCAAGGGTCCCCCATGCCCTTTTTTTCCACCAAGACATATCATTTTAACCCTCTTCTGAAAGTTCAGCAATTAGCACCTGTCTTGTAAACAGGACATGGCAAAGCCCTATTTAGAGAAATGTGGTGGGAAGAGTTTAATCAGGGTAGGCTTCCTGGAGGAGGAGTTTGACTGATTTCCTCTCTTTTCAGGTGAAACCAAGGCTTGGTGACATTAAATAACTTGCCTGAGGTCACAAAGCGAGAAACTGGCAGAGAAGCGCTTGTGTCAATGCTGGTTTGGCTCAGAAGCTACTGCTCTTAGCCAGGGTGCTGCCATGGTGACCGGCCTTTCCCATTAGAGGAGAATGATGGCCATTCATGGGAGCGCCTGGGACAAGATGATCTGAATGGCCGTCACTCGGTCAGGGTGGAGCACGGGCACCGGAACCTTGGCACTGCCTTGCCAATAATCACAGATTCCCAGTGTGAGGAGGCGAGGTGTGCCAGGCCCTGCGCCCAGAGTTTTAGATGCACCATTTCATTTAACCTTCGTTTTGCAGATCAGGAAACTGAGGCCTGACAAGGTTACTATTCTCACCTGTGAGTGTCAGAACTGAGACAAGAACCCAAGGGTTCCAGTCATGTATTGTTGGATAACGATGAACTCGAAAAGTTAGTGCTTAAAACGACAACTTATTATTTCTCATGATTCTGTGAGTCGGCATTTGGGCATGGCTCAGCTGGTTGGTTTTTCCGCTCCATGTGGCGTTAGCTGGGGTCATTCGCTTGGCTGCACTGAGCTGGTGGCTGGGTTGGAAGGGAAGGGCCAAGAAGGCTCTGTTCCCAGGCCTGGCGCCCCAGGGTCCCTCTGCATGGCCTCCCGGGGCCAGCATGGTGGCTTCAGGGAGCTGGATGTCTTACCTGGCAGCTGGCTTTTGAAGGAATAAAAGCAGAGCTACCAGGCTTCTGCGGAGCTCGAGGTGGAGTTGGCACAGTGTCACCTCCACCGAATTCTACTGGTCAAGGAAGTCACATGCCGAGGAGGAGGGAATAGATCTCTCCTCTTGGTGGGTGCAGCCGCTCATACCGGGATGCGTGATGTTCATGGCCACCCATAGTGGGAGACTGACTACCACCCCAGCCTCCTCCCTGCCAGCCTCTCTCCCAGACCCTGGGCCTAACCCCAGGAAGCCCTCATCTCCGCGGACCCACTAAAGCTGCCTAGGCCCCCACCAGAGGGGTGTGCCTATGCGTTGTCTTACCTGGTCCTCCTGCCCAAGGACTTCTTCATGCTCTGTGCCTGGCTTCGCAAGAATTCACCTTCCCTGGTTTCTTCCAGGGCAGGCACCATTTTTTCCGGCTTCCTGTGGCTGCATCACCTGAGTTAGCCTGACGTGTTCTGTCCTCGGGACCCTGAAAGAACCTGGTACATGGCTCACAGGTAGTCAGCCACCTGAACAAGACCGTATTGGATTCACCTTCGCAGGCCCAGCATCAGCACCGGGTCTTCTAGAGAAGCTCGGTAAACAGGGCCTGCTGGCACCTGCGTTCACAGGCTTGGGCCTTGAACAAAGGAAGAGTCTTACTTCTCCAGGACCAGCAGCCTCATCACCTGGGAATACGGTTAGGAATACGGGCCCTCCCTCCTTACGCACCCTGACCAGGGCCCAGGGCCGGGGATGGAGCCTGAAACCGAGGTATGTGCCCTTGACTGGAATCGAACCCAGGACCTTTCAGTCCATGGGCCGATGATCCATCCACCGAGTAAACCGGCCAGGGCCAGAATTTGTAAGTTCACAAATACCCAGGTGATTCTCATGCGAGACAACGGAGGTCCTCAAGGTAAAGAAACAGGAGCAGGGTGGGAAGACAGGTGCCAGTGAGTCCCCCTGGGAAGATAAGGCATGGGTCTCAACCCTGGCTGATGGTTAGAATCACCTGTGGTGCTTTTAAAAAATCCCGATGCCCTGTGTGCGCCCAGATCAATAAGATCCAGGTCTCTGGAAGTCGGGCCCGGGATCAGGATCTTAAAAGCTCCTCGGGTGAGTTCACCGTGCAGTGGGTTGAGAGCCGCCGGCTCAGTGTTTTAGTTCGTACAGTGCAGTCTGTGGGCCATCGGAACCACATCACTTGGGGGCATGGATTAAAGATGCAGAGTCCTGGACCACACACCATATTGTGAGTCTACATCTCCTGGGGTGGGGCCCGGAACCCACATTTTTTAACCTTCTCTCTAGGTGATTTAAACGGCACTGAAGTTAGAGACTGTGGAGTTCAGGACCCTGAATAAGCAATGACAATGGCAATGATGTTTCTAAATGAGAAAATGTAGGGAAGCAAACACGAAACCAACAAACCTCCATACTCCTCCTGCCTAGAGAGCATCAGGGGCCCCTCTTGGCACCCCCTCTGGAGCAGGAAGGAGCCCCCCTGCCCCCCGCCCCCAGAGAAGCTGCCCAGGGCAGGGTCGGCGGTGGACTGGGCTGTGCTCTGCTGCAGGGTGGAGCCTGTCATCTGGCCCGGACAGAATTATTGCCTCAAATTACATGGTTGATTATCAATTACTTGTGTCTGTATGAGAGCATGTGTGCGTGTGTGCATAAGTGTCTTTGCAAATCATTAAGGGCCGTAATTCTGGATTATCGTTGATTAACGAGAGGGAGACCTGGTACCTCCAGCAGCCGGGATGGCAGCCCCGCAATTATGTCCCAGCTGATCCGTAATTGGCGCATCACAAGATGATCTCTCCCTCTCGGCTGCCTCCTCCCAGCCTCTCCTGCGGCTCTGCAATTAGCGCCATGGCTCATTCCCTCCCAGCCTGGGCTGAGCTCAGAGACCTGCTTTCTGGCAAGCGGGTGCCGTGGGGCTGGCTTTGAAGCCCCCCACCCCAACATGGGGCGGCGGCGGTGGCCTGTGGGGTGGCGGGAGAGGCTCAGCGGCGGGGTGTGGAGCCGGCAGGCGCTCACGCTTGCCGAGAACCGGTGCTGCCCATGACAGTCTTACCAGTATTCCTCCCAGCAAGCCCCCGAGCCATTCTCCAACCTCCTGCCCCTCCCTCACTGCATGGATGGGGAAACTGAGACCCGGAGAAGGAAAGTGGCAAATCAAGGAAAAAAAATCCAAAAACAACAATTCAGAACAGCATGGCCACCTAAGTCCAACCCCACAGAGCCAGGAAGGAGCAAAGACGTGGGCGTCCCTACCCCATCACTCCCATCCTGGGGGAGCTGTTCATATCACCGCTGGGGGTCTTCGTTTCCCTGAGCAACACAGGCTTTTGTCCTGCAGAGATGACAGCTCCATACACCCAGCTCCCCAGGTCAGGAGGACCAGCACTGCGGGACGTTGGTGTTAGCTCAAGGCAGCGGCCCCGCCCCCTGCATTAGGGCCACGGCCGCCTACCTGTTCTTCCCACTGCACCTGGAGCCCCCAGGGTCTGTCACACCGAGACAGAGGATCCTTATACGCCCTGTTTCACTCCCAGCAAAGCCTCTGAGTGTCTTTGGCATGTCCTCACTCACTCATTCATTCACACAGGAACTATTTGTTGAGCACCTACTGTGTATAAGGCACTGTGTTAGGCACAATGGGAAACCAAACAGACACAGGCTTACTCCCTCTGCACCGTGTCACTCGAGGTGACCCTCAGGATAAAGTTTGGGTCCCCAGTCTCTTTTCTTGCTCCACCCACCTGCCCTCTCTACCCCACACAGACCCCTCCCTTCCTTGGCCCAGTCGGGTCCCTCTGCCTGGAACCCCATTCCCTCCTCCCATCGTCTTTCTCCTGGGGCACACAACCTGGGGGGAGGCAGTGACGCTTGTGCTCATATTGGGGATCAATTCCTGAGAAAGGGGTCTGTCCTCAGCGGGGACCAGCCATCACAGAAGCACAAACTTTAGGGCTGGCTTTACGGGGGGCGGGGGGTGGGGTGAGAAAACGGGGGAAGCAGGGCTGTTCTGGAAACCTGCCCCATAAAGGACTCCCGTGGCTGCAGAGCCACCAGGCCGTTTGTTGGTGAGCCTTGCAGCTGTCTTGGCCATTTTCATTTTTATCTACTTAGGGTGGTCAGCAGGTCATGGCAAGCGGGAGACGCAATGCTAATGACTGGCTGCACGTGGCGGCCATTCAGGAAAAAGCTGCAATGTTCTCTCTGCCACATTAATCAGAAAAACACATCAAGAGCTGTTGTGTGGAGACAGCTTTCCTCCCGGTACCTGCCCTGCATACTAATCACCAGCCCCGCTGGCGGTGAGTCAGCTCCGTGCCAGGCGGGCAGGGAGGGAAGGCCAGAAACGCCGGCTCCTCGCGTGTGGGGAGCAGCCAGAGGGGCGGGAGCCGGCCCCCACCCACAAAATGCACGCTGCCCGAGACCCTGACCGTCACTGAGTCCCAGGCAGGTGGAGATGGCAAATTCTGAAAGAGTCGTCCAAGTGCAAACGCTGGCCCACGTCCTCGGGTCTAAGTCCTCCCCACGGCTACCAGAGGGAACTCTCCGGAAGTCGATCCCTGGATAGAGTCTGGCTAAAGAGCGGCCTCTATGCCAGGCCCTTTGATAACAATAAGGCAGAACCTTAGTGCTGAACACGCGGCAGGCACACCTGTGAGCAGGTGAGGGCAGAGCTTGCACCAGCGGCTCTCAGAGCGTGGGCCCTGGCCCTGCAGCATGAGCGTCACCAGGAACTTGTTAGAAATGCCAAGTCATGGGCCTCACCCCGCACCTGTGAACCAGGAACTCTGGGGGTGAGGCTGAGAAATCTGTGTGTGAACACGCTTTCCAGGGGGTCCTGACCATGCTCATGTTTGGGAACCACTGGCCTATGCAAAGGCCCCGAGGTGGGCAGGAGCAGGCACGTTGGAGCAACTGGAGGGAGGCCTACAGGTGGGGTGGGAGAGGGGGAAACAGTGGCCTCGATGAGCTGGACAGGGGTTGGCTTACCTTGGCCTTGGAGGCGTCCTAAGCATTTCAGCCCTGCATCACTGCCCATCACCAGGGAGCCCAGCCGGAGGGCTCCTCTGCCCTGGGGACCCTGGAGGAGTAGCAGGTCACCGGAGTGTCCAGGGTGGCCGAAGCGAGAGGAGGTGAGTGGCCACATCAGATGGCTTCCAGAGGCCCCTGGTCACCCGATCTTGCCAATGTGTGAGCTGCAGGAAGCACCGGTCAGACGATGAGTCCTGCTGCTGGGGAAGTGCTTTAGTCCTCAACATGGGAAAGAACTTAGGAGGAAAGCCCCTCCTTATGGTCCTCAGGAGGCACGGGGCCCCTGTGAGCAAAGGAGACTGCACGGCTACCCTCGTCAGGAAGCAACCCTGCACACACTCATACCTGGAGGACCCCGGGCAGCTGAGCCCGGAGGAGCCGGATGTGGTCGCAGCTGTTTGCAGGAGGTGTTAGCCCAGAAATAGATCAAACACCCCGCCACCCCTGGACTCAGAGACATTTATGGAGTCCCTACTATGTGCTGGACACTGTGCGAGCCCTTTCACGTCTGCTAGCTCTCAGGGAGGGCTCCCAGGTCTGAGGGTTCTTTCTGTCATTCCGTCCGCAAATACATAGGGATTGTTTGTTCTGGCCTGGGCATCGGGACACGGTGCCGAGCAGGACATATATGGTCTCACCCTCAGAGCAGCATGGTGGGGAAACAGGCAAATACAAATGATCCAGAAAAGGTGATTTTAGGGCCAACCATGAGGATTTGGGGTGGTATTTTTATTAAGAAACACTATTTCTTTAAGAGTCCTTAGCAGGGAGAAAGAAACCAAGAGAAAAGACAGTCTGCTAGAGCTGCTCACACTGGCGTTGCCCACAGTTACTATTGAACATCATCGTAGGACCTGGCAGTGGTTGAGCTCATCAGTGCCTCAGGCCCTTTGCATCTCCTTAAGGATAGGCTGCCCAGTGTCCACTGTCTACCCAGCCCCGGCTGCCCCCACTCCATGGGGCTTTTTCACAAGAGGCTCAGGGAATTCCTGCATCTGCCAAGAGACACCTGCTGTCTTCCCTCCTGGCATGGCGTCCTGCAAACCTGACAATGAGGATTGGAGGCCACGGGCTCTGGGGAAAGGTGGGGAGCTTTTTAAAAACATGTCCCTGTTGTTTCCCTCGCTGATCTCCCCCTCCCCTCCACCCCCAGCTGGCATATGAACTTGTTCTTCCTTTCTAAGACTCTGAGAAAAGGCACCATCTGGCAGTTTCATCAGGCCCATGGCCCGTTTCCACCCAGCCCACTCTGCTTTCCTCCCAGCCCCGGGTCTGCAGAGCGATCCAGCTTTCGCGGGGCACGTGCAGAAGGAGAGAGGCAACAGTAACGGCGGAGACGTGCAGAGCGCTCGCTGCTGGCCCGGAGCGCTTCTGGTTCTGGTTCTGCAGGTGTCGGGATGCTTGCAACAGCCCCGGGCGGGGGGCCGGGGTGGACCGCTATCACCACCCCCATTTTACAGAGGGAGGAACTGACATGTGGAGACGATCAGAGACATTCTCATGCTCACGTGGCTAGTGATGGCAGACTGGGACCTGAGCCACAGGAAGCATCAGACTTCGCTGATTCGTACATGGAAAACCCAATCTTGGCTAAAAGATGTGGGAAGCAGGGGAAGAGAGTTTAGAAAAAGGGATCTCGCCCACCTGGCCGGGAGAGAGGGATGCCAGAGAAAAGGCCAATAAATCCACGAGGAGGGGCAGACCTGGCTGACCGGGCTCTGAGCTCGATGAACAGCAGAGCCAGGGAGCCCCCCAGGACTGGAAAGCCAGGGGCCCCCATGCGGAGCTGGCCAGGGAGCGGCTGGGAGCCTGCAGGAGACCTGGAGACAGGTCTTCCTCCTGAGAGCAGAGCCCCTGGTTCCTTGCCCAGCTTAAGTCCTCACCGCTGGCCCCTCCCTCACTGTGTTCTCTGCTCTCTGAGCGTGAGTGATGGGCTGAAGCCGGTAAGTGGTGAGGCTGCGCCTGAGGTGGTGGGAGTGAGCCTCCTTTGGAGCAGAGGGACCTGGGCACGAATCACAGCTCTGTGGGCTGTGGCCAAGTCACCCCCGCACCCCATGTCTGTGTTCTCATCTATAGGACTGCTCCCCTCATGTTAAGAAATGTGAATGAGCTTGGTGTCAAGAACCCAGGTGTAGAGTATGTGATTGTCTAGCCCAAGCATGTCAAACTCTCGGCCCACAACGAATATTTTTGTGGCCCAGCCAATATAACCGTATGTAAGAAACGTTTTAATAAAAATTTCATAACTTAATTTTTACAATATCCGGTTATACATAATTATTAATAACGAACTACAATGTTCACTAATGACTGATTACTATCATCGTGTTGCATTCATTTCCCTTACTCACCTTACGCACAGGGGCACCATTTCTCTCCACTAATACTAGCAGCGAATATTTTAGCAACCGATGGCCACGTCATTGGTCTTGGCCTGACTTGTTTGGTGTGTGCAACAGGAAATATTTCGCTTTCGGAGAACAAGAAAAATAGGTTTATGTGCGTTATGCTTATTAATTTGTGCAGTTATTCAGTGTCTGGTAAGTTAATGTTTAAGAAAACAATATTAACTTTTATTAAAATGTTCTATTATTTTATGTTAACAATGACTCATTTATTTCAGCCCTTTGTATCCAGCATGTCTCTATCGAAGTAAACCTACGTTTCTATAAAAATTGAAGCTTTTGGTTTTTTGCGGCCCACATAAACTTAAACTTGTTTATTTGGCCCGTGTTAGCCTTTGAGTTTGACATGCTTGGTCTAGCCATTATACTGTACACCTGAAACCAATAATGTTACATGTAAAATGTAATTGAAAAAAATTTTAGATTAGGAACATGTTAAAAAGGAAAAACAAAACAAACCAAAAAAAAAAAAATAGAACCCAGGTAGGCTCCTGGCACATAAGAGGTGTGTGGCCCAGGTGTCCTGCCCTCAATCCTTGTTCTTCCTTCCAGAACAAGGAAGGAGGAAGCGAAGGCTCCCACGGCGACTGGGGCTGGGCCTAAAGGGGCCAGGCAGACACCCACGCCTCCAGGACACAGGGCTTCCTCCTCAGAGCAGAGCCCCACGGGCCACAGCCCCTGCCCAGGCCGCTAGGAGGAGGTGGGCAGTGCCAGGCCAGGCAGAGAGTGGAGGGGCCCTGACTCCCTGGGCAGCAAGTCGCTTGGATCCAGAGGCCAGTGTGGGGGCTGTGCCCTAGCCGGGCAGGCAGAGAACTCCCCAGCATCCCTGTGTGGGCAGCAGCCAGAGGCAAAGCTGTTCCTCCCCCCTGGCCACCATCCCCTGGGGCGGGGGGTGGGGGGGGGGTCAGCTGGCAGTGGGGGGTCCCCTAGAGAAAGGAGCTTTACTCCACACAGCCCCGCCCTCCAGTCCCTGGGCCTTGCTGGGTCCTTCCCGCCACCTCCCCCTGCTGCAGACCCACGTGGGAGGGGCCGCTCCCCGCAGGCTGTGTCCACCGTGTCTCCCCGACAGCTCAGACAGCTCACCACCGCGGCGCGGGACTCGGGCCACAAGTCCAGGACGGAGTGTGGGCTGTTCCTGGCCCCTCCATTGTCACAGGAGCCGTTTGATGTGGGTGCAGGCAGCGACCCTGCTCAGGGTTTCCCCTTCAAGAGAAGAAACGGAGGGACTCGGGAGGGGCCCATTGTCCCGAGAAGTAGGGCACGGAGCGGAGCGGGAGTTTGGAGGCGGCTGTGAGAGGGCAGCAAGAAGGAAGGAGGGCAGCTTCCTTTTCTTTCTTTTTTTTAACACTCGTTTTTTTCTCTCCACAAAAAAAAATGTGAACACAGAGGTAAAGAGAGAAAAAGTGAAAAGGTCCTTTTATTCCCAGGTGTGACCCATGTCACTGCTTCCCCAGCAGTGACCTATATTAGTAGTTGGCTGTGTATCATATATCACCCTGACTTTTTCTGGGCATTTACACACACGCGCACACGCGCACACGCACACACACACATACATGCACACACACACACATACATACACACACATACATGCACACGCACACGCACTCACGTGTGTGATGCCAGGATCTCTGCTTGTCTTTGCTCTTACATAAATGGGATTGTGCTGACCATATGGCTCTGCAATGTTTTCTCTGGAAATGCACATTCCGGACATAACAATGACATACAGGAGCACCCCTGTTAGCTTTTGCTTTTTTAAACGTCTGCATAATATTGCACGTGTGGGTGTAACATGGTCCCCGTTACCCACCCAATCCCGGGAGCGTGGGCCAAAAGGCTTCTGAATGTGGGTGGCATCCCAGCTCTGCCAGTTCCAACGGGATGCCATCCACGTTCAGACAGTGGCAGTGCCTTCTCCCCAGGGACAGATAAGGCATCGCCAAGCTTTCTTATCCGTCCTTGCAAACAATTCTGAAGCCAGCGCCCTCGCCCAGCCTCCTGGTGTACACGCGTGAGTCATTCTCTAGGCGTGGATGCCCCGAGGTGGCGCAGGTGGGCAGGGACCCTGCCATGGTGTGGGAGGGCGGCTTGGGGCCTCCTGCACCCGCTCGGCCGCATCAGTCCCCCTAGCCCACATCCATCAAGTGGCAGTTGGCTGGGCTGGCTGCTTCCAGGAAATCAATTGCAAAGACTGGCGGTCGTCAGTGCTTGCGCCCTGGAGGCCATCCAGGGAGTAGATTAAATTGTAGGAGAAAAATCGTACTGGGCCCGAGACCACTCATAACGGAGACTCCTCGGTGACCGCTCTGGAGAAGTGAAGAGAACAAAGGTAGACACACTCTCACTCCCCATCGCCCACCACAGTCCGCCTGCCTGAGCTTAGCCCTCTGCCCTGGGAGAAGCCGCCCCTCGTTAGCAGCCTGGTGGGGAGGAGGAGGCCTGGTCCAGGGCTACCGGTGCGCAGGCAGGGAGGCCAGAGGGGCACCTGCTCCTCCGCAGGGTGGACCAGGCTGACCATCAGTTCCTTAGCTGCTCAGGGTCACGGAGCCCCTTTCTCCAATACCTGTCCCCTTCTGCCACCTGCTTAAGAGGCCGCCTGGCAGCCAGTTAGCAACCCTCCTCTGACCCCTCTCCACCTACTCCCCAGGCCCATGGTTCCTCCAGCTGAGTACAACCCTCTCCCCCCCGCCCCCCGTACACACAGGTGCAGGCACCTCTTAGTTCTTATTATCCAGCTCGAGACATTGGTCCCGCACCCCTGGGAGGAGGCAGGCCTCTCGAGGGTGGTGTGTGTGTGTGTGTGGGGGGGGGCTTGGTGTGGACAAATCCATGCTCCTTAACTGCCAGGGTGACTGGGGCGTTGGCCTGGTTTCAAAGGCAGCAGGTTTAGAAGCCTCACCTTCTAACCATCCCCGCCCACAGCTGGCCTTGCACAGAAAACCCAGCCATGGCTATGAACTTGGGGGAACATGCCTTCATTTCCTACCCACAGCAGTCTCCCTGCCCTCCAGGCCAACCTACTTGATCACGATAAAGATAACTGCAGCTGCCAGGGATGGGGCGCTACTTTTCACACTCTCTGCAAGGTAGGTACGTCCGCTGGGATTTACAGGTGGGAAAGGGGGGCTCAGAGGGGTTACGTGGCTGGATCCAGGTCACACAACTGTAAGTGCCAGAGCCAGGACTGGAACCAGGTCCCAATCAGACTCCAGGGTTTATGGGCTTAACCACTGTGCTACCCTGGCTCCCACTGGCTTCCCTTCATTCCCTCTTCTGGGTTGTCTTGAAGACCAGGCTGAACTGGCCAATTTCTCAGGGCTGCCCCCTGGCGGGGTGGGGCTGCCTCATCTGGTCCCTGGGGCTGTGTGGTAGGGGTTCCTGGCAGAGAAGAGACTCTTACATGTCCCTCCCCTTCTTCTCCAGATTCTCCAACTCTCCTACAGATCCAGCCCCGCTCCAGGCCAGCAAGACCTGACAGGCCACCTGCCTGCCGGGGACTCTTGTAAGTCACTCCCTCTGCTTGCAGGGAGGCAGCGCAGCCTGAGACCCATGGACCCTCTCCGGGCAGCACCTCCCTGCCTGGGCCCAGGGCTGGGCTGGTTTCTTTTCTCCAAGCTGCCCAGGTCTGCAGGCTGGGAGGTGGGAGAGGGAGGTAGGCCCATTCCAGAGGGGCTTGCTGCCCTCCTGTGGCCTGGTGCCATGGCTGCCACAACTCCCTCCTCCTGCTGTCCCTGCTATGCCTGGGCTCCATCGGGGAGAGGGCAGGGAAGAGAAATGTGGAAGTGGGAAGGTGAGAGAAAAGAAGTGCAGAAAGAGGGGTGGCCCACCCAGCATAGCTCAGTGGTTGAGCATCCGACCTATGAACCAGGAGGTCAGGGTTCGATTTCCGGTCAGGGTACATGCCGGGGTTACAGGCTCCATCCCCAGTGTGGGGCATGCAGGAGGCAGCCGATTACTGATTCTCTCTCATCATTGATGTTTCTGTCTCTCCCTCTCCTTTCTCGAGAGAGAGAGAGAGAGAGAAAGAAAGAAAGAAAGAAAGAAAGAAAGAAAGAAAGAAAGAAAGAAAGAAAGAAAGAAAGAAAGATGGGTATTGGGGAAGGACGGCGCCTTCTGCAGCACCTGGAGAATGGCAACAACAATAGCAAAAGTAATAATAATCATTGAAAGGCAGCTACCACGTAGAACGTTTTACCACTTACACATTTTCTCGTTTAATCCTTACATTTACAACAATGTGATGAATAGCTGCTTATGATCATCCAAGGCTTGGTCATTTGTTCAAATGTCCCAACTGGCGAAGGACAGAGCCATCCTCACCACCTCACTGCTCCAGCCTCCAGCTGCTCCTCCCACTCAGGGGGGCACAAAGATGGCGAGCCTCTGGGCACTGCGGGGGGAGAGGGGGGCCCAACCCCGTGTGGCTTTGGGCACTGCGACCCCCCCCCCCGCCAGCGGGCCCCCCTCCCCCCCGTGTGGCTTTTTCCCCTGGCCATCACCCCCCGGTCCCTGGGGCTGTACCCTGCTGGGGGCCCCCCGGGGCCGGAACACCAACACCAGGAGGGCTGGTGGGACCGGGGGGCCCTGTTTGGGCCTCGGGTCTCCAACCTCCCTGCTGGCCAAGGACTGACGTTCGGCACCAAGCCACGCGCAGGGCCCAGGTCATTTTTGCTGCTGAGGAGACGGAGGCAGAAAGACCAGGAAATTCCCAACCACCAGCTAACATGGCAGAGCCAGTAACAGCGACAGACTGATCCATTGGCCTGAAAAGATGTCCTAGTGCATTGCTTGGTTAAAAAAAAAAAAAAAAAAGAAAAGAAAGCAGGTTTTAAAGCTGTGGACAGAAAGAAAAGATTTTATTAATGAAACAAAATTGTTTTCTATGTATCTAAGTATAGAAAAAGGATATTGCCGAAACCGGTTTGGCTCAGTGGATAGAGCGTCGGCCTGCGGACTGAAAGGTCCCAGGTTCGATTCCGGTCAAGGGCATGTACCTGGGTTGCAGGCACATCCCCAGTAGGAGATGTGCAGGAGGCAGCTGATCGATGTTTCTCTCTCATCGATGTTTCTAACTATCTCTCTCCCTTCCTCTCTGTAAAAAATCAATAAAATATATTTTTTAAAAAAAAGGATATTTGCCAAGATGTTAACCAATGAGTTTTGTTTATTTTCTCTTGGCTGTGTTTTCTATTTAATTTCAATGAACATTGATTATTCTCATGATTTTAAGAATAAAAATAAACCAATCCCAGACTGATTGTACCTGTCTCTGCCCTTGTGCCTACCCCCAGCAGCTCCCCGCTCCCTCCAGCTCCCAAATCACAATTTTGTATTCCTGGGCCTTCCCTCTTGCCATGTGCACGTCTTGTGGTGGGTGGGGGCTCCTACCTGCTCCAGCAAGCCTTCGCCTGACTAACAAGAGGTGAAGGCTGCACCCTTGGCCTTTCCTCGCTGACCTGCCTCTGTCAAAGGCACCAGGTGGGAGGCCCTGGCTGCCCTTTCGTGGGAGGACGTGCCCGGCTTCCCAGGCATCGTTCGCTCCTGCAGGCTGAGGCCGCCTGCCCTGAGGCCGAGGAGCTCAGGGGCAAGGCCCTCCTGGTCACTGGACTGGGGCCCAGGCAATGGCTCCACGGCTGAGAGGTGATTGTTGCAAAATGAAGAGCAAGGGGAAAGAAATCGCAGAAGTGCCTCCTCATCAGAGAAGAAAGAGCAGAGCCTCAGGATGGGGCTAGGCTGGCCCCTTCCAGAAGCTCCATGGAAACGAGGAAGGAAATGGGAACGGAGCTTCCTGAGCCTCTACTATGTCCAAACACTGGACTCTCTACGGACACGTCCCTCCTCCCAGAACACCCTTCCTTTGCATGGGCGGGTGGGGCAGCTGAGGTCAGGAGGTACCTTGCCCTTAGCTTCTTGCATTTCTGGTGCTTCATCTAACATCAGAGTAGGCCCCTAAAATGGACTCTGGGTGGAGAACTCTGTATGGGCTGGCAGCGTCTTCTCCTCCCCTCCGGCCCAGGCTCCCCAAGAGCCATAGAGACCCCTCTGCTCAGGAGCAGGGACTAGGACCTAGCATTCTCCGCTGGGGGCTGGCTTTCGGAACACCTCCCAGGTTAAGGAGGAAGGTCGCTCTCCTGCCATGGAAACAGCAGTCATCAGAAAGGCAGCCCAGAGAGCCCAGAGAGCTGGCCTGCAACCCGGCAGAACCAGGGTTCCAGGGAGTCGCCCTGAGCCCTCATCTTCAAATCACATCCCCTGAACTGGCCGCCCCTAGAGACCCGGAAACCAGGTTCCAGTCCCCAGCAAACCTCTTACACACATGCAGGACAGATGTGGGGTTGGGGCACCTAACTGGGAGGCCGGAGAGCCTGGTATTCTACCAGCTCTGCGCCTAATCTGGGACACTGAGGCGAGTCACTCCTCACCACCACACCCTCCTCCTACTTACACAGTGTTGTGGCGTCATGAAAAGTTTCAAAGGGTGAGGTTGAAGGAGGCTCAGCCCTTGCTGAATGGGAGTTTCCTTCCTGAGGGGGAGTCTGGTAATGAGTTCCATGCCTTGAGGATCTCGGGTTGGCTGCCTGTAGTTGAAGTGTGATTAATAGCGACATCTCGTGGACACAATGGGTAACTGCACCCGCCTGGATGGAAGCCACAGTGACATCCAACTTTCCTCATTTATGTCGCCAGGAGCTCATTGCAGTTAATCACACTCATCACCTGACACGGGGAGCCGTCTTAAAGCTGGAAAAGAAAACCTCCAAAAAACAGGAAACAACCTTCCGGCCTCAAATGTCCGTCCGTCTCCATTGATATACCTGGTTCACTTAAAGTTGCCCCATTTCAAATATTGACCTGATAGAAGAGTCTAATGGCCATAGATGGAGAATAATGTCAATAATAATATTAATAAAATGTAATTGACTGCCTATCTTTGCCATGAATTTCATGCATTATCTCCTTTCATCTTTCCAACAACCCAATGAGGTGCCTGCTCTCATCTGCAATTTTCAGATGAGGAATCTGAGACTTGGAGCATGAGGGGAAGCTAGGTTTCAAACCTGGGCAACCTGGCATCACAACTCACTCTCTTTAACCACCACTCTGGGCAACCTCACTGCCCCCAGTGTCTCCCCACACCACCCCCGCCTACTGTAATTCCTGAGCCTGGAGAAAGTCTCAATTCCTGGGGCTCTGGTTTAATCCCTAGACTGAATGCCCCTGGGTCACCCTCTGTGACAGCCAGAGGCAGGTGGACATGAGGGACTATAGGGTTTGACAGGCCCAGGTTAGAGCCCCAGTTCTGTTCCTCATTAGCTGTGTGACCTTGGGTTTGGTCCTTAACCCCATCTTTCTGAATTGCCAGATATGGTGCATAACCCCTTGCCTTGGAGGGTGAAGATTAGAGACATTTGCTGCTGAGTAAGCCCTCCAGAAATGACAGCATTCTTATCTTACCCCAAACTGACCTTTGGGAGTGACAAATTCTGATCCAGCCTCTTTAAAAAGCACCACCGCTAAGAAGGGCTGGGACTCCGATGGAGGGAGGGCCAACCTTCTCACCCTCCGGCTTGTGCTGGTTCAGAAGGAGCTGCTGATGTGTCCTTGGCTGTTCAAAGGATCTGCAAGTGTGACTTGGTCAGGGTGGCAAAGCAGACACAAGATCCTAGTTCTAGCTTCACCACCCTTGAGCTTGGTTCATGTGGACCCTTGAACTTGGTTCTCTTCCCATCTCTGCACGATCACACAGATGAAGGCTCCTCTTCTCGGTGTCTCTACGGCCCCTCCTCCTCCTGCCTCTGCAAATGAGTGTCGCCCTTCTTGTTCATATCTGTCACTAGCTGAGGAACAGCCATAATGGCCACCAGCCATGAATAGCACCTGGCAGGTGGAAGGTGCTCATGGCTGGGTGAATGAGTAAGACACCTCACTACAATGGCTGTGAAGCGCACTGCTGGAAATGTCCCCAGAGAGAAAGGCACTGGGGCCCCTGACCATTCTAAGAGCCATGTGAGAATTACAAAATGCAACTCCTCCTGCTTCGGGTTATACTGAGCCCCCAATATCACCGATATCGGTATTAGTAATCTGTTGCCACACAACGCATTACTTTCATACTTAATAGCTTAGAACAATAATAAACATTTATTGTCTCACAGTTTCTGTGGGTCAGGAACTGGGCAATGGCTTAACCAGGTGCTCTGGCTCATGATTTCTCAGGAGGTGGCAGTCAAATGCCAACGAGGGCCCCAGTCATCTGACGGCTCGACTGGGGCTGTGGGATCTGCTCATTCACACGGTGACAAGCTGTTGACAGGAGGCCCCGCTCTGTTCCTTGCCTTGTGGACCTCTCCTTAGACCTGCTTGGGTAGCCTCATGACATGGCAGCCAGCTTTCTCCAGGATATGAGTCAAGAGAGAGCGAGGGGACTTTACAATGTCTCTTATAACTAGATTAGCTTCTTAGGGCAGCCATAACAAAGTACCACAAACAGGGTGGCTTAAAAGAACAGATATTTACTCTGTCACTGTCCTGGAGGCCAGAAGTTGAAATCAAGGTGTGAGCAGGGCCACACCCTCTCCATAGGGTGTAGGGGAGAAAGCTTCCTGGCCGGTCCCAGTTTCTGGTGGCCGCAGATGTTCCTTGGTTTGTGGCAGCCTAACTCCAAACTCTGCGTCCGTCTTCACCTTCTCTGTGTGCGTCTGTTCTGCGTCCCTCTCTCCGTATAAAGGACACCAGTCATTGGATTTAGGACCTATCCTAATTCAATATGACCTTTGATTACATCTGCACAGACTTTATTCCCAAATAAGGTCACATTCACAAATACTGGGGGCTGGAACTTCGACATATCTTCTTGCGGTACACATTGGAACCCACGGCCGTGACCTAGCCTCAGAAGTTGCAGACTATCTTTTCTGCAATAGCAAGTGTTTATTTTACAAGGATGAGCCCTGTTCAGGGTAGGAGGACATGCCACCATGGTGTGAATATCAGTAGGTGGGAGGCCTCATAGGCAGTATTTACAAAGGAAGCAATGAAGAAAGAACCAGTTGCACAGCAGTTGGGCCCTTCAACCTATCAAGCATATAGAAAGGGTCAGAGTGTGGAGGACAGGAGGGTTTGGAAAGAGAAAACACTTCTGAGAGAGTAAAGCTATGCTCTGAGCTCCACCTCCAGTAGGGCTGGAGGCCCTGCCACCTCCATCTCAAGCCTTGTGATATGGGCGTCTGTGAAGCCATTTAGAGCTGTGGGCCCCCACACCTGTGCACTGGGATTGGGGCAGGAGCCATGTGAGTGCCTCCTATGGACCAGAGGCAGTCCCCGGAGCAGAGAGGTCCAAAATAGGGTTATGTCCTGTAGCGCCTCCTGGAGGGGCAAAGGGAGCTCAGCAGGAAGAAGTTGGCAGGGGATCCTGGATTCCTAGGGGCTGAAGAGGGAATCAAAAGTTGTTACCTGGAAAGGAAATGCAGACCGGGAACCTCAGGAGAACCCAGGAGATGCCCCCCCAAAACAGTGTTCACCACCTGCCAGGCCCAGAGAGCTGGCAACTGGGCAGTCAAAGAAAAATTGCCACCGCTCGGCTGGGGTGGCTCAGTGGTTGAGTGTCGACCTATGAACCAGGAGGTCACAGCTTGATTCCTGGTCTGGGGCACATGCCTCGGTTGCAGGGTCGATCCCCAGTAGGGGACAAGCAGGAGGCAGGCGATTGATGATTCTCTCTCATCGATGTTTGTATCTCTCTCTCCCTCTCCCTTCCTCTCTCTGAAATCAATAAAAAATATATGCAGAAGGAGGAGGAGGAGGAGGAGGAGGAGGAGGAGGAGGAGGAGAAGGGCCCCAGTTGGGGTGGGGGCAGTCAGGTGAGAAACCAGATAAAATCTTACCTTACCACAGCCCAATCCCCGAAGGCCCACACCCCAACCACAGACCTAGGAAGGGCAGGAGGAAGAAGATTTATCTTTGAAGGAACAGGAGTGGCATTTCATATCTATGACTGGATGCCTTAAACCTCTAAATCGAAGGTAGATTTTGTGACATAAAGTGACCAAACCTGAGTCTAACTGGAAGAGGCGTGGGGTGGGCCGGGCTTCCCCTCCCCCTCCCCCCCCAGTCCCCAGGGGAAAGGGAAAATGCCTCCCTTGCTGAATGGTCCAAATGAACAATGAGAGGCTAAGACCAAGCTGCCTTTGGATTGCACCCACAGTCAGCAGATCGGTGTCACTGAGCTGGAGCTTTCTCAAGGGAAGCTGGGCCTTATATTCCCTACTCCACCCCCCACATTTCCGTCTCGGCTTTTGTTCAGAATCGAATGTTTACTATTTTTTCCTTTCTAATTTCTGGAAATAACACCAAGAACAACAGCAATAGCAAAAAGGACTCCTTGTACCCAAGCAAAACACCCACACCCTCCGAACTCCTCACCCTGCCTCGGCCGGAGTCCACCCGAGGGGAAGCGAGATGAGGTCAGCGGGTTGCCCGTGCGGGAGGAGAGGTTCCTGGGAGGACACGGCGCCTGGGAACACTGGCTGTTTTTCCGAAATCTTTGTGCGCAGTCAAGTCAGTGGGGGAGGGGCTGGGGCAAAGCCAGGAGAGAGCATCAGGAAGCAGAGTTCTACTAATTTTTTTTAAAACATTCCCCGGGGATGTTGGCGCTGTGGTCTGATCAGTCCTCCTAGTATCTTATTTGTTACTACTGGGGGGAAAAAAAAAGGCTGCCTCTGAGTCTCTCCTCGCTCACTGCCCTTGACCAAGCTTGGGAGGAGCTCAGTTTAGTTTTGGGAGTCAGGTTTTGTAAAGAGGGTCACCTTGGGGAGCAGGCTGGAGAGCCAGCCAGGAGCCGGGCTCTGCAGGGAGCGCAGGGTCTCCAGAGCATCGGTCTGCTGATCAGACCCCCAGAAGCCCCTGGCCAGGACCTCGCTGAGCAGGGGCTGGAAGGCAAGTGGAGCTGTGAGCCTGGACGGTGACCATCCACAGGCAGAGCTTCTAGAGTCGCCCGCCTTCCCCAGCACCACGCCTTCAGGGAGCACAGACCCGGGTTCTCTATATTTTAGCAGAAAGCATTTATCGTGCTAATGATGACAGTGGTATTTCAAGACCTAAACAAGTTTTTTAGTCTGATGGAGAGAGGGCTCCAACACTTTGAAAACGCTAGGCCCTCAATAAAATCTATCACCAGGCCGCCCATTTCTCTCTCTCCCAGATCTTGGTGCCAAGAAGCAGTCACAACCTCAACCAGGCAATGACAGCACCCTGGGATCAGTGTCCCGAAGAGCTTAATCCTGAACAAGTTGCTGTCACGTTGTCTGGAGCTGACCAGCCGGGAGAGGCTCAGGGCGAGGCTTTTCCGGGCGAGAACACGGCCCTTTCAGTGAGCCTCAGTTTCCCCAGGGGAGTAACTCCAGAGCGGCTGAGCTCCGCCCGCATGGGGTTAGAGCAGGGCTTCTCAGCGTCAGCACGAAGGACCTGTTGGGTCGGTGATGCTTTGTTGTGGGGACGGCCCTGGGCATTGTAGGATGCTGAGGACAATGCCTGGCCCCCATCCACAAGATGCCAGTAGCATTCCTTCCCTCAGCTCCCCTCTCACTGTGACAGTCAAAACTCCCCCAGACATTGCCCAATGTCCCCAGGTGGCAAAATCATTCCCAAATGGGTGAGAAACAGGCCAACTATTATACAGGAACAGCAAAGGAGAAAAGGTTCTGAGTTGGAGATGGGACAACAGAACCTTTATACCAAAATCGATTTAAGGCCAATCCTTAACAGCCAAACAAAACAGCCCATCCGTCTACTACTGTAACTCCAACCACCACCCAATATCGAGAGCTTCCAGGCTCCCCAACGTAGGTTCATTGATCTGGCCCGAAGCCTGGGAGGTGGGACTTAGGGCTGTCTTTGCTGCTGGGGTTGAGTCTTTGGTAGAGGCCAGTGATGACCAAAGTCATGACTACTAAGTGACACAAGCTGGAGTTTCCAAGGATATGACACGACGTACCATTCTTTTTTTTTTTTTTAATATATTTTATTGATTTTTTACAGAGAGGAAGGGAGAAGGAGAGAGATAGAGAGTTAGAAACATCGATGAGAGAGAACGTCGATCAGCTGCCTCCTGCACATCCTCTACTGGGGATGTGCCCGCAACCAAGGTACATGCCCTTGACCGGAATCGAACCTGGCACCCTTCAGTTCGCAGGCCAACGCTCTATCCACTGAGCCAAACCGGTCAGGGCCCATTCCTTTTTTTATTATAACACATTTTTGTGCTGGTGTAAGTGGGTTCCAGGCAGGGGCTCTGCTTTTCCTGGTTTCAGCAGAGCTGGTGTTTGTCACTTCCTGCACAGGCAGGATCCTTCTGGTAAATTCAAGAAAGTGCCCGCATTAAGATGTGAAGAAAGAGCGCCCCTGGCCTGGAAAAATCCCAGAGATGTTAAGATATGCTGCATCACCAGTGCTCTTGGCACGAAGGCTGATATTGTTGGGGAAAACACAGCAGTGATTCTGAGATGGAACGTGGCTCAGAGGAGCCGGGTTCTGGTGGGAAGGGCATTTGATGCTCAGTGGGGGTGAGCACACACACATTCATCTCGTCACGGTCATTCCCATTCCCTCTGGTTGTAAGACTGGCCTCACCAGACTGGACTGTTTTCCACGGTGCCTTAGACAAGGTAATATATCAGGATGGGACCTGGCCGCTCCAGGCCTCACATTTGTGCCAGACGTGTAGACGCAGAACCACCCCTGGGAGGGACCCCATCCGCCCATGAAGGCCACTTGGACGTGATGGAGCTGCCGTGATTTCGTCCAGCTGCCTTTAATAGCAAACAGTTTACCGTGCGCAAAGCACTTTCACCTGCACCATTTCATCCCTTCCTCACAACCTGGGAAGGAGGGCAGACATTGTCATCACTCCATTTCAGAAAACAGAAATAGCAACTTGAAAAGATAAAGGGACTCACTTCCTCAGGGGTCCCCCCCTGGCAAGTGACCTTCAATGCCACACCCTAGGTTCTGCCCACCTTACCCTGAAATCTACCTTTAGGGCAATCCCATTTCTACCTTTTCTTTTGCATGCTCTGGATCTAAGTAGTTTGTTATGTGCTGGTTGTTTTTCTTGGGGGCAGGGCAGGAGAATGGATTAGAGTCTTAGTTTACAGAGAAAATTCTTATGAGTAAGAATGCTGTTTGACAAAACAATGTCACGTTTGTAATTTCTCTTTAAATGGCTTTCTCACAAATTGCCCATGAGATGGAAACTCTTGTGAATTATATTCCTCATGGAAACAAAAGGTACCTTTAAGGGCGGGGGGGGGGGGGCAATCTTTACCTCATTTTCAAGTCATACAAGGAACCCTCACACTCTTGGGTCTTATGCATTTTGGGATGGAGTTCACGAAACATTCCCCACCCCCTAGTCCAGTATTAGTAACTACTTTCATCAATCGACACACTTTTATTTTTTATTGACGCAGAAGGGTTTTGTTTCATTTGTTTGTTTTGTGGGCGTGTTTGTTCGGGTGCAGAGCTCCCTGGGGAGAAAGGTAAGAGTCATGGAAGCACCTGATGAGCTGTCGGCCCCATCCTGACCTCTGACCTCTCGAGGGAAGAGTTAGGGCGAGAACAGGAGGAGGAATCATCATGTAAGCCTTTGAGCAACTAAAGGTACAAGCAGTTTTGCTTTGGGACAACAGTGGTGAGAACAGGTAACAAAGTGCAGCCAATCAGCGGGACGGTCATTAGCTCCCCATTGCTCCATCCACCCTCCAGGTTGGCAAGTCGGTGGCTTAGAGTGGCCCTGGAGCGAATGCCGTGCCCAGTGGGGCCACAGGAGTGAGCACCGTGGAGCAGTGTTCCCACTGAGGCCACACAGGCTGGTGAGACATCCTTTAGGGGGCTGTGAAGAGTTAAACCACCAACGGGGAGGGTGCGGGGCAGAAGCACAGGGGGTCTGCCCAGGGGCCTATGGGACATACCTTGGGGGCCTCTAGGAATAACTCAGAAAGAGTGGCCGTGTGGAGGGCCAGTAGAAAGGTCTACAGACCTTCAAGAGGGGCTCAGAGTTACAGAAACCTAGGTCTGGATGTCAATATGACCTTGTGGGCACCCGGGGCTGCTGAAGTCTGGTCGTGTGCTGTTGTGAAACACGACACTTTATCTCCCACATGTCATTCAGCTTCAGAAATCCTACCTTGGGTGAAGATGCCATGGAAGATGCCTATTGTGTAGACTCCTTCCCAGTGCAATTATCTGGGGGAGCCGCCCCCCCCCACACACACACACACACTGGCTGATTGCCCTGCCTCCCCTACCCTCCCAGGGAGGGCCCTTGTGGGGGAGCACCTCTCTGAAACTGTCCCCTGGCAGCTGGAGAAGCCTAGCTAGGGTTTGAGGGTAGGAGAAAATAGTTTTGTTTCTATGTTGGGCAAAACACCAAATATGATTTGCCAAGGGTTTCTGTGACTAGGTTATTAGGTAAAGAATTTTTGCTATTTCAACTGCCACGTAAAGAATTTAGATTAGAGCAGTAAGGGATTTCCCAATGTCAAAGGGAAATAGATTCTCTATTTTAGGCCCATTTCTAACGGTAAAGTGAGAGGCCTGCCTTGTCTGCCAGCCAGCCGCCCTGATCTATTTAAAAGGCTCTCTCCGTATCTTCTCCTGAACGCTCACCCTTCACCTGAATTCCCTGATCTGTCTCTGCTCCGCATCCTCCTCACAGCACTTGACAAAACTGATCTGTGAACCTGTCAGGGATGGAGACTGTGTCTTGTTCTTTCCTGTGTCCTTGACCCTCGGAAGGCCCACGGTACACAGTATATGTTGGCTGGTTCAGTCGTGAGTGGAAAGCTACTTGGAGACAGGAGAATGTGTTAGGACCCATTAGAGCAGTGGTTCTCAACCTTGGCTGCACATTAGAATCACCTGGGAATCTTTTTAAAATCCTGATTTCTGGGCCTCATCCTCCGGAAATTCTGTTTCTTTGTTACTAATGTTGTGGCCCCAATATTAGTACAAAGAAACCGAAATTTCCGGGAGCAGAGGCCCAGAAATCAGGTTTTAAAGGATTCCGGTTATTCTATTGGGCAGCCAGGTTGGAACCGCTGATTTGAGGTTCTACAAATTTTAAGAGGAGTATTTCTTTTTTTGTTTTATCTAGATCGAGATTAAATTCGTTCTGATCAGATGCCAAAACCAAATCGTCACAGCTCTGCTATAGG